TCATCAGCAAAATGGCCTTTACCTCGTCTCTTTCCTTTTCCTTTTCCACGAGGTCTGAAGAATCTACGGCCTGATCTTCCTTTTCCTTTTCCTTTTCTTCTACCTTTTCCTTTGCCTTTTCTGGCTCTTCTTCCTTGGAATCTCCTTTGGAACCACGAGAAGTTTTGATCATCATATACCCAAAAGACATCGTCCAGGGCATCTAAAAATCCTTCTGTTCCATCTTCTTCATCTTCGGCCCAATAGCCAAATGTACCATCGAGTTCTCCTTCGTCTAGTACGAGAAATGATCTTCTACCTCCAGCACCTGTCGGCTGCATCAATGGATTGTCTACTGAAGTCTTTGTCGTGCAGAACATCTCGATGAAAACTGTCCTCAGCTCTGTTGTAGTGTATTGCTGCAGGTACCTGCCACGATGAGTCATCAACGAAGTCAAAGTGTTTCGCTGGTCCTGAGACAAATCTGCAAGGGACAGCATGAGTAGGGCAATGAGATTCTCTCCTAAAGGAAAATCATTCTGATGAAGAATTCTCATATTGCCATTGACATTCTGCATGATTTCCTGAATCCTTTCTGCCGTTGGTGCTACTCCAGTCAACGCTGCATCTGCCTGCATCTGAGCAAGGACTTGGGGATGTGCTTGAGTGACTGGTTCTAACATGTCCATCCAACTGCTCATAAGCCTTTGGAGTAAAATCTGGAATCTTGTCATCCATTTCATCATGTCGGCTGATCCTCGATTGAATCGCACGAATTGCATAAACCTGTATAGGAATACATTGGTTGATCCTTTCACGAAATATGGTCGTAGTACTCGTTTGAAGTAATCTACTCCTGCTCCTGGTGGCTCATTAGCCTTCAATGAATCTCTGTCTAAAACACGTTTGTATACTGCTGCTTCTCCTTCTAATCTGTTTCTCAAAGCTGGTCCTCTCTTCTCATCTTCCAGCTCGGTGATATCACACCAATCGTCTATGGCATCCTCATAGGAAAACCATGAAGTCTTTCCATCATAAGATGGGAGCACCTTTGTAGTGACCTGTGTTGTCATTGCTATTGCTGCTGGTTCTCTTCTCACATGCCTATTCACATAGGCTGCTGGCTCATAAGCCACATCCGCATCAGGCTCTTCCCAGTCGTCTATCCAATCCATGGCTGTTTGCCCACTAGCAATTCTATGCCTAGGAAAGGAGCTCACCTGGGTCTTCCAGGATCACTGCTCCGCTACCATTGAAAGAGTGACTAGGGCGTACACGGTAGAGGTGCAGACCGCTAGTGTCTTTTGCTCACGCAGAGTCTTATCCTTGAGGTCCATTGACCTTCTCTTGAGCCTTATGGCAGTCAAGCATGGACACACTAGATAGGCCACTGGAGTGGAACCTGTACAAGTAAGCCTCTACATTTCA